TAGATGTATGAATCCTCTAAAACAAAAATGTAGTGTGAAGCGTTATTATAGGAAGGAGATCCTAAAACAATGCGGAATCAGATGCATGAATCCTCTTCCTTTGAAATTTAATTTGAACCATTACAATATGAAGGAATCCTAAAGCAAGGCAGAATCAGAGGTATGAATCTTCTTCCTCAAAAATTTAATTTGAACCATTGCAATAGGAAGAAATCCTAAAGCAATGAAAAACAGGTGTATGAATCCTCTTGATCTAAAATTTAACTTGAACCATTACGATAGGAAGGAATCCTAAAGTAATGCAAAATCATATGTATGAATCCTCTTCCTATAAAATTTAATTTAAATCATTGTGATAGGAAGGAATCCTAAAGCAATGTAGAATCAGATGTATGAATCCTCTTCCTCTAAAATTTAATTTGAACCATTGCGATAGGAAGGAATCTTAGAGCAATGCAAAAATGGGTGTATGAATTATCTTCCTCTAAAATGTAGTGTGAACCATTGCAATAGGAAGGAGATCCTAAAGAATTGTGGAATCGAATTTTTGATTCCTCTTCCTTTAAAATTCAATTTGAACAATTACAAAATGAAGGAATCCTAAAGCAATGCAAAATCAGATGTATGAATCCTCTTCCTCTAAAATTTAATTTGAACCATTGTGAAAGGAAGGAATTCTTAAGCAATGTGGAATTGAATGTATGAATCCTCTTCCTCTAAAATTTAATTTGAACCATTGCGATAGGAAGGAATCCTAGAGCAATGCAAAATTGGATGTATGAATCCTCTTCCTCTAAAATTTAATTTGAACCATTGCAACAGGAAAAAATTCTAAAGTAATGCGGAATCAGATGTATGAATCCTCTTCCTACAAAATTTAATTTGAACTATTATGATAGGAAGGAATCCTAAAGCAATTCGGAAACGGATGTTCAAATCCTCTTCCTCTAAAATTTAATTTGAACCATTGCTATACGAAGGAATCCTAGAGAAATTCAGAATTGAATGTATGAATCCTCTTCCTCTAAATTGTAGTGTGAACCATTGCAATAGGAAGGAGATCCTAAAGCAATGTGAAATTGGATTTATGAACCCTCTTTCTCTAAAATATAGTGTGAACCATTGTGATAGGAAGGAGATCCTAAAGCAATGCGGAATCAGATGTATGAATCCTCTTCCCCTAAATTTTAATGTTTCAAATTTGTGGGAAATATATGGAATTTGTGAAGATTTATGGAATTGAAGTTCGGGACTTCGAGTTTCTGTTGTTATGTTTTGTTTGTTTCATTTCAGCATCTTTTGTTTTCTTTTATAATTTTTTATTTCATTTTGGTGATTTATTTTATTTTGTTTTTTTTTTTGTTATTTTATGAGTTTTCTTTTGTTATATTGTCTTTTTTTGTTCTTGTTAGGATTTGGACCCAGTTTCAGGCAAGGGTGAATTTGATGCTCCTTAGGGCAAGGCTTTGTCTTTAAAGCATTACAATACACAATACCTCTCAAGCTTTCGTATACTGACTGAAGGAACATGATAGAGAATACCCACTCGTTAGGTTTCAATTGGAATTTTATTCTTTCAAGTACCTATAAATGTGTGTTATTTTTAAGGACACCACACCTGAAGGGGCAGCAACTTTGTAGCTTTATTTATATTAGTCACATTTCTTTATCATTGATTTTGTGAATATCATTTACAACATCTTTGAGAAATCATTATGAAACTCTTCAAATTGAGGTTTGAGTTGAATCTTCTAGGCATTGAAAGATATGACTTCAGGGTCGAATTTCTTTTAATTGCTAAGAACTTAACTCTTTACTTTAATTCTCTCTTTCTGAGCCTAAGCATATTTCAAATTTTTTGATCATGTGATTAAGATATTTTTTTATCATTGATGCGGTTGTATTTAGTGACGAAGAGTTTAAATTTAAGAAAGCATCCTTCCCCTTTACAATGAGTATATAGAATATATATATGTAGGTACTTCTACTACCCCCCAATTAGACTTATTGTTGAAAGGAGACACTGTAGCTCTTTCTTTCATTAGAGTTTTTTCTGTTTAATGTGTTTGGGAAGGGACTTTTATGCTCCCTTCTCTTGTACCCACCTTTTTCTGTTTAATGATGTAGGAGCCATTATCTCCTTTTATTATATATATATATATATATATGTAAAGGAGTATTATACGTCTCACTACATGTTAAATAACAAAAAATGTACAACATTTGCCAGGAGAGGATCCCTCACTAGAAAACAAGAGAAATACAATATGCACTCATTGAAAAGGTTCCTCAACCACATACAACTCCACCCAAAATAATAAAAAAAAACCAAAGAAAGTATACCCAATCATATACAAGTATACCAAAACTTAAAAAAATATTATCAGAGATAAATAAGGTGCAAATAAGATATACTGAGAATAGTAGATGAAGAAATCTGAGTGAGAACTGCAGCCAAAAGAGTTGTTCCCAAAAGTCTATGAGTGTGAAACAAGTGAATTCATCAAGATGAGCCAACCAGTTTGCAGGCTGGTTACCTTCCCTGTAGATAAATGTGAACTTAATTTGCATCTTGCTAGTGAGATCCCTGATTTTGCTTATCCAGTAAGAGTAGTGCCAGGGAGTCTCCTCCTCCTGATTTAAAAGGGGAATAATCACAGCAAAATCCACTTCTAACCTAATTCTATTCCATTTAGCCTTAATGGCAAGGTTAATTGCCCAGTACACAACAATGAGTTCAGTTTCAGTAGCATCATTGGCCAGGATAGGGGTATGAAAGTACAGCAAGCACTTACCCAAATGATTTCTGTAGATGCCACCCACACCAGCACCATTTTTAGTAAAGCTACCATCAGTCTTAACTTGAATAAAATCAGTCTTAACCTTTACAGTAGGATGATTTAGGGCTTTCCAATAGACTTTAATGACTTGAATAAAATCAGTCTTAGTGGAAGCACAAAAGTTAAAAATATTAGGAAAGCCTTTCCAATTAATCATCTTGTGCAAGTAAGTCACACAATTTCTGATAGTAGACCCCACATTAGGATTTGCATCTTCAAATTTGACCTTGTTTCTTTCCATCCAGATGAACCAAGCAATGGTGAAGGGGATAGCAGTGTACTTTCTAACCTTCCAGTGCCACCAGCAGTCAACCAGTCTATCCCAAGTAAGCTTTCCCTGGTCAATTGTTAAATGGTTTAGGAACTATTTCCATATCTGTTGAGCAAATTCACATTCAAAGAAAAAGTGGTTCAGAGTTTCCTCTGCCTGTCTACATAGTCAGCATTTAGAGGGACCTCTCAATCCCTTCAACTTTAGAATATCATCAGTAGGGATCATTCTATGGAATATTCTCCAGCAGCAAAAGGACATAGAAGGTGATAAGAATTTATTCCATAGCTAATCACCCCAGGGTATATGATCCCAGCAGAAGTTTTTAGAATAGATAGCTTTGGTGAGACTTTGGTGGGAAGTGGATTGCCATAAGAGTTTATCAGCAAGATTTTTGACGAATTTTATACTGACCACTTTGGTGATAGAATGAGGTTGAAGAAGACTTGCTAACTTACCCAGGGACCAGTTGTCCCCATCCCAACAATCAGCCACTTTCAAATCACTATAATATATATTGGTAATGGGGGAGAGTCAATCTTTAGGACACCAATTATCAAGCCAAAACTTGATGTCCCCATTACCAAGCTCTCAGTTGTAGTTAGCTTCAGCAATATGTCTGATTTTCAGCATTTTCACCAAAATTCTAGAGTCACCAGTTTTCCTTAAGACCAAAGTGGGGTGCTGATCTTTGTAGTACTTACTCCACATGAATTTTTCCCACAGTGAGTTTTGGGTCCTGAACTTAATCCAAAGTTTACAGAAATTGACTTGGAGGAGTTGTTCAAGGTCCTTAAACCCAATTCCCCCAGCAATTTGGGGTTTAGCAACTTTCCTCAAAGAAGCCCAATGCATTTGCTGTCTTTGACCAGCCCACAGGAATTTGTTAAACATTCTCTCCAGCTGTGCTTGGGTACTTTTCTTTATAGTATTCATTTGTAGCATATAGGCTAGGAAGGTAGTGATTATGCTCTTTAGCAAGGTAATTCTTCCCCCATTAGATAAGAAGGTCTGAGTCCACCCATTAAGAAGGTTGGAAATTTTATTCAGAACCTCACAAACTGAGTTTGTTTAGCTCTGCCAGTAATTAAGAGCACCCCAAGGTACTTAATAGGGAGTTGAGTATTTGTGAAACCTGTATAATGTGATGCCAAAAGTTTTTGAGTGGAGGGTACATTTTTATAGAAAACCATTTGACACTTTGCTGAATTAAAAGCCATACCTGAGAGAGCTTGAAAATTCTGGAGAGTTTGGAAGACTTTTTTGATAGCATTTTTGCTGGCTCTGGAGAAAACCATTATGTCATCAGCATATAGTAAGTGAGTGATAACAATGTTGGATCTGTTATGATATCCGTGTTGACTATGATTCAGCAAGGCCTCATCCAGCATTCTGGACAAGTAGTCAATG